ACTTCGAATTCAAGTAGATTAGCCAGTTGAGCTTGATGGACTACCTAATTATTTGAAATTATAACGATTTAGCACGGAAACTTTTTTTCGGTCGTACATTTAATTTTATTTCTCCAACTAAAAAACTCGAAGCGATATTGCCTCTTAAAAGTTTAGTAATAAAAATTGCGCGGAGCATTAAACGTCTTCTCTCAAGAGTTGGGAGATCTATAAGTTTCAATCTATTTTCATAAGGCGGGAGAGCTAAATCTGTATTCCATGGTAAACCTCTAAGAGCAAAAAGAAGAAATTGTTTTTGAACTGATTCTATTGTGTCAGAATAACATTTGTAGAGAGGACTCTAAAGTACGCAACAGTATTCCAAGGTAGGTCGAACAAGAGTTACAAAGAGACGTTTGGTCACGTAGGGATCATCGAACTCTTTAGACCAACGTTTTATAAAGCCTAACAACGACTTCGCTGTATTAACACAAGCCTAAATATGTAAGTGGAAACGAAGTCTATTTTCTAGAATAACACCAAGATCGACAAAGGAGTCTACATTTTCTAATGTGTACGACCCTATTGAGTAATTACAGGACACATGTCGAGTTCTAAAGAACGATAGTTTTTGCATTTCTTGAGATTGAGAGACATGCCATTAAAACTACACCAATTTGCAAGGGAGTGCAGATCATTTTGCAAATAAATATATTGCTTTGGAGAATTTAGATTTGAGAAAAATTTAACATCATCAGCAAACATTAGCACTCTTGACGTTGTAATAGCTGATGGGAGGTCGTTTAAGTACAGAACAAATAAAACCGGACCTAAGTGACTGCCTTGTGGAACACCAGAAGTAACAGTTATGTTCTTAGAGAAAATTTCATTATATAATACTTTTGTGTACGGTGTTGTAGGTAAGAAGATATCCATTTTAAGAATAATGATGGAAAACCCATGATGTCCAATTTATACAAAAATAGGTGTTGTGCTACAGTGTCAAACGCTTTACTGAAGTCAGTGTAAATGACATCTGTTTGAAGTTTATTCACAAAACCATTATGGACGTAACATGTTAGCTCTAATAGATTAGTTAAAGTTGACCTCCCAGTTAAGAAACCATTATGACATGGAGATATTAGAGGGGCAACAATATGGGATAACCTACGTGTTACAGGTAATTCAAATAACTTGGGGATAGCACTTAATTTAGCAATTCCTCTATAATTTTCAATGTTACTTCTACTACCAGATTTGTGAAGGGGAATTATAAAACTGGATCTCCAAAAATAAGGAAAATACCCAAAAGACAACGAATCATAAAATATATTAGTAAAGGGGAATATATAATTCATGAGCACAGGATTTACGGATATATTCAGGAACAAAATCCGGACCGGGTGATTTAGAGTTATTTAACGATTTCAGTCCATTTAAGACTTCGCGAGAGTAATAGGAAGGAAGTTATTTTATTTGCAAATATTAGCAAATATCTTCTTACCATATTTATGGTAGTTACGTGTATCTTTTAAGCAGGAACCTTGCATTACCAAGGTCTACCGCGAACCGCGAAAACATGACGATCCTTGTAAGGACCTGTTAACGTAAAGGACTAATAAAAAACAATCCTTAAAATACTAAGGATCATCTAAACGATTTAGAATACATAAAACCAATAACCCAACATAACTTATTAACAAAAATAATAAAACCATCAAAAAATAACAACAAAATCGTACAAATCCTTCCAAGAGAATAACAAAATCATAAGTGCAAAGAATCATTAACAAATTTATAAGACAAAAAGAGTCTTATTTCTTCACAAACTAGTGCGAAGGCGGAAAAACAGAGAGAACAGAGCAAACCAGCAACACGGAAGCAAAGATAAGAGTACGTCCATCAAACAAGCACAATAAAGTATACAAAGACGCAGTAGAAACCGCAACAACTTTCAAACCTTGATCGACCAAATCCATCCAAAGGAGGAACCTGCAGTCTGTAAGTTTATGTCTAGATAATATTAATATTACAAATTAAGTATATATTACATATTTATGAGTGATACAGAATCGGTAGGGACAACCTCGGGCTACGTGTCCGATCTTGAATTTGAAGAACCTGTAGAGATATATCAAATAGCTTTAGACCCAAGATTTGATTCTAATGACGGATATTTGACAGAAGTTAACGGACACATTAGGCATACTAACCCACAAAGACGGATCATTAGAAGACGACGTAGACAACGCCGGGTAACACCAAGACAACATTTCTAATACACTTTTCCTCCAACATACTACACCTTCAAAATGACACCGAGTAACTTTTGTAAAGTAAAGATTGTAAAGTGCAATAATATTCTTACGGACATTCTTGACGAAAATGAACTTACTTACATAAACGAAAATTTCCAACAATTGAAATACAGTATCTACAATCACAAACTCAAAAAGCGAATAACACAATTCATCAACAATTGCGACATATGTATAAGAAAAATACGATAGGAACCCTATAAAACCGAAACTTCAAATTATTGAAACCCCTGACGGACCGGGACAAATAATACATATAGATGTATTTTACAGCCTGGGAAAACCCCTCTTTTTAACATTTATTGATAAATTCAGCAAATTTGCACAGGCAGTCAAAATTGAGAATCGCACCTGGATAGAATTTAGAAAAGCACTTACTCAATACCTGGGAATAGTTGGTAGTATAGGGAAAACCGTCACGGACAACGAACTAGGCTTTAAAGCTCTACCTCTTTTAGAGTTCCTAAAAGAGAAAGACATAGAAATTCACTTTACGTCTAACAATAACCACTCATCTAATTCAGACGTTGAAAGGTTACACAACACAATAAACGAACACATAAGAATCCTAAGGCACGATGCTGACAAGGATATTGATACCGTAGAGGAGAAGATATATAAAGTAATCTCGTTTTATAATAACACCATACACTCAACCACAAAATGTAGACCCGCAGACTTCATCAACGGGAAAATCGGACAGAACAAATACCCCGAAATAAAAGAGAAAATTCAGAATGCGAAGCAAAAGTCAATAGATAAGATTAATGATAATCGTGAAGACTGTGAACTTCGTACCGGTGATGTTTATATAAAACATGATCGTGGCGGGAAAAATCACTCAAAGTTTCTGAAAGTTAACGTTGAGAAACTAGATGAAAATCACGTAATCACTAAAACCGGTCATATATATTATAAATCCCACATAAAACGGAAAAGGGCTTTTCAATAATTCCTCTGTTATTTCCAGAACCAAAAACATGATGAAACTATTAACAATTATACTTCTACTGAGGACCGCTGATCCACAAATACTGAACGTTCAAGACTTAAGCGATAACCATGGATACCTCCCCAAAAAAATTAAGGACGTAGACATAATAGACTACTACATACAAATTATCCATGTGATCAACACAACTAAATACATAGATATAGCGAATATGATAGACTACAATTTTCAGAAATTAGCCAGTACATACACTAACCTAACTCCCTCATTGGAAAGCGTCAAAAGTAGCATGGACCTTTGTAAAACAAAAATTGATAATCTTACACCCACATTTAGACTGAAACGCGGACTCATTAACATATTGGGAAAAGGGATAAAATATGTCATTGGAACTGTGGACAGCGAGGACGAAGAAAAAATACTAAATCATTTTTCCCGAGTAGATGAATTTAATAACGTAACATCAACAGAAAGTAACAAACTGACATATTTAAGTACGCTACTATCAAATAAAGTAACTAATATGACAGCACACATAAATAACCAACAACGAATAATACAAACATACATTAATCAATTTAGGATAATAACATGTTAAGTATAAGTAGTAATATTAGCGCATTCATTATTTTTTTAATCTACATAAGAATGAATAAGAGAATTTATATATTGTCATCATCGGAGCTTCGAACTAACGGTGGAGGAGTTACGGCCTCACCAACATTTACCATATAAAGAACACCTACACACGTTAACATATGTTCGTATGAATGTGTACTTTTGCATATTGGCGTGTGCAACACTTCCGCCACAACTCAAATTAATAATTCCTTAAAATCAATCAGACGACCTATTTTTGGTGTCATTGTCCGAAGCACATAATTATAATAAGCAATTAATCAATTTACCAATAATTCTTTAATTTTAGATCAATGCACTTCTTTTCCAATAACTTTCTTAATTTGCAAATTCAGTACATTTCCATAAACAAAATTGAACCATCAACAATTCATTGGAATTACATGGCATCGCTTTGATTTGCCAATGTCAATTTTAATAAACAGGTCAATCATAAAATTTACTATAATTTTACAATAGTTTATTTCTTTACTTATTCATTCTTTTAGTATAAATAAGACAAACAAAACATATTATAATTAGTTCTTAATTTTGTTTTATAAAAATAAATAAATAAAAAAAACATCAATTTAATTGTTATGCTCAAGCTTTCAAATTCGAACGTTACATTAATGGCCTTTTCCGATCTACTCAATCTAATGTTCACAGTTTTTTTTGTCATTTTTTTTACCAAAGAATGGTCAATGACAATAGGATGAATGGAGGAGATAGACATTTCACCCAATATTTAATACAGCTAAGTTAGTTATTCTTTTGTAAATTCTACATTTAAATTTACTTATGCAGGTAGGTAGGTATGTATGCTGGTATATTTTAATAGTAGTTAGTATTTGTAATAGGTATGCAGCATGTCATCTAGTCAGTATCTATGTGGTTAGTTAGTTAGTAATTTGTCAGGATTTGAGTTTGCTTCTTGGAAAGCGACTTAGTAAATAGTAATGAATTGATGCCCGTAGTTTGTATGTATATGTGTCATTTACGAGGATATGGTTTCTATATATTTCGAATTTGGCAAACATTACTCTCGAAGAGATAATAAAAAACAAGTGAGGAGTGTTGCCATATTTTTGTTGTTGCATCAATTAGTTGTTAAATTTGATCTTCTTGAAAAGTATTTTTATGTTTTGGGTATTTTTCTTCGATACATTTTTTATGTATGTAGTATGCACCCATATTAAAATGATGACTATAAAGAGAGTATGTGTGCAATGAGACCAGTATTCCGAATACTTAAAACAGTGTTTTATTTTTTCCTGCTTCTTTCAGTTATCGTCAACTTTCTCTTACTTATGGCATACGTAAATCTCTGCTCTGTGATGACGAAGATGGTACCTCATCGGGACTGGGTGAATCATCACCACCATGTGGGCGAATACGTACAACGGCACGTCTTGTATCTTCGTTACGCTGCGGCATATACAGGCCAGACGGTCCAGAATAGCATGTTGTATTATTTCCTGCTAATCGTAACTTTTCAGTTTCGCCAAGTGTACTTTCGGTAAACAGTTGACCCAAATTCAATTGTGGAATATCATAAAATATTGTTAAGACCAGCATCATAGCAATGAGACCTGAAAGAAAAAAAAAAACATGAAAAATAATAAAATGTTTATCGTTTTTATGTTGAAATTTAATGAATAATAACAATTCGGCTCAACCGAACATCGAGCATTGTCGTCACAAGACAGAAACCCAAAAACACCCCGCTAGTACTTATTATACCCTTCACCAACTGTGGTACAGGGTATTATGTCTTTGTGCATATGTTTGTATCAGGCAAAAGGAATCGAGATAGACTCATGGTTCCTTTTGAAAATATGGAATCAGAAAATGATTCTATTTTCTGATACGATTTATGCAAGTCCGTCCGTCCGTGTATTTTTGTGAACAAAGTACAGGTCGCATTTGTGATCCGATTTGGATAAAATTTGACACATGTCACTTATTTGGCCCAAGGACGAACCGATTTTATGTAAATGGAGCAACATACTGCCAATATTACTCCGATTGAGGCAAAATTGTAAACAGAGTACTGAATTAGGTCCAGATTGGTGTAGGCGAAATTTTGTTGGAATCGGTTCAGATTTAGATAAGCTCCCATAAATAGTTTCGTCCGATTTTATTTAATTGTAGCACCGTAGAGTCAAATTTAGAACGATAGGTGCAAAATTTTGCACAGCGTACTGAATTAGGTCAACATTTACTTATGCGAAGTTTTGTTGGAATTGGTTTCGATTCAGATATATAGTTTCCTCAGATTTTGTGTAAATGGAGCACCATACGATTGATACAAAATTTTGCACAGCGTCCTGAAATTACTGCAGGTTGACGTCTGCGTTTAGATTTAAATATAGGTCACATATCGACGCCTCCGAACCATAGTATGCTAAGTCGACTTAGCATGTTTTAAAGTTCTTTACGTTTTTAGATACTACGGTCCTTAATTTAAATTCACTGAAATGTTGGTAATCATCGGCCAATCCAAACCAAAGGTTTAAGCAAAAATGTACTTAGCATGGCACGTACTATTGAATCGGTTGGAATCGGTTGAAGACGTTTCAGGTTTAAATATAGCTTCCATATATATATATATATGATTTCATCACAATGATGTACGAAGTAACGAATTTGTGTACAACGTACCAAATCGAACCTTGAATAACGTGTATTGGATTTTGTTTCGAGATAAATTTTGGGTAGCGCAGAGTGTTGCACCATACCAAATGGTGGATGCCACGGTTGGTCAAATACGTCTATTTATATAGATCCTATACATATTGACGTTCAATTGTTTTCATAAATTTCAGATTAGGATGTGTATGGGTTGTTTAAATTTATTTCAAATATCTATGTACGCAGTTAATATCGTCCGATTCCATTTCAATGGTCCTCCAAAGATTGTATGCCTAGTCTATCTAAAGGATATTGTACATATGAGCATCTCTAGTATGTACCCAAAGTAATCCTTACTGATTACTTTTTGGGTTGAACTTTTTTATCGAACGGAAGCACTGGTTGACGGGGTGGCGTAGGGGATATTAGATACCAAGCAACGGCTCTGATTGGCTTTAACATGGCGAAGTCCAGGCTTATCTTGGTCCCTCTTTCATCTCAATTGTGGGCACTGACCTCCCCGCGGTGCCACCTGGGGAGCTATTCTCATCACCCGATGAAATAGTGAGCTAATATGTGCCGCGAGTTCACCCATAAGAACTATAAAAAAATGTAGTATAGCTGCCATGAAACGAGACATGAAATTGGCTGCGGATTTATGGTTAACAGGAGAATAAAAGACCTCGTCTCCAGATTCACTCCAGTAGATGAGCGAATTGCTATAATCCGTATAAAAGCGAAGTTCTTTTACATCAGTCTAATTTGCGCCCATGCTCCGACCGAAGATAAAGATGAACAGACTAAAGACATATTTTACGAGCGCCTAGAAACAGCATATGACCGTTGCCCTGGCCATGACATTAAAATTCTGCTAGGAGATTTTAATGCAAAAATCGGAAAGGAAAATATCTTTGGCCCCACCGTCGGAAAATTCAGCCTTCATGAAGACAGCGGCATGAGGTTGATTGACTTCGCGGCAGCAAAAAACATGGTAGTTAGCAGCACCAGATTCAAGCATCTCGATATACCCAAGGCCACCTGGATCTCTCCTGATCATGTAACGAGAAATCAAATTGATCATGTTGTGATAGACGGAAGGCATTCATCCAGTGTTTTAGACGTCCGATCGATCCGAGGAGCGAATATCGATTCGGACCATTACCTTGTGGCAGCCAAGGTACGCACCCGTCTTAATGTTGCAGCAAAGGTGCGATCTAATACAACACGGAAACTCGACGTCGAAAAGCTGCAAACACAACAGGTAGCCGAGGCCTACTCCGCTCAACTTACCCATCTGCTTGAAGAAAGCACTTCTTGTCCCGATAATAGTATAGAATCACAATGGCAAAGAATTTCCCACTCCCTACAAACTGCAGCAAAAAGAACAATTGGGTACCAAAAACCACCACCAAGAAACCCATGGTACGATCAGGAGTGTCATAATGCTACTGATGTGAAAAACGCAGCGTATAGGGCAACCCTCAAGAGAGTAGCAACACGTAACGTGATGGAGAATTATCGGGAGAAAAGGAGAGAGGAGAAACGTGTTTTCAGAAAAAAGAAGAAAGAACAAGAAAAACGTGAGCGTGAGCAAATCGAGATGTACAGGAGTCAGAATGAAGTCCGGAAATTTTACCAACGAGTAAAGCACCAAACCGAAGGCTTGGGTGCAGGCACATCCTCCTGTAGAGATGAAGAAGGAAACCTGGTGACAGATACAGACAGCGTGTTGAGGATCTGGAAGGAGCATTTCGAAAAGCTTCTATTATCAAATAGTGGCGATGAAGAAGATATCCCAGAACCAATAAGAGATGATGGTATAGAGTGTATACCACCTAGCCAAGATGATGTCATAAAAGCAATTAATCGGCTCAAGAACAACAAAGCAGCAGGAGCCGATGGGTTACCAGCCGAACTATTCAAGACTGGTGGCCAGATGCTGGTCAGGAGCATGCACCAGTTGATTAGCACTATTTGGCTAGATGAATGCATGTCCAAAGATTGGAACCTCAGCATCCTGTGTCCCGTGCACAAAAAAGGAGACAAGACGATATGTGCCTACTATAGGGGAATAAGTCTCCTTCCCATCGCATAAAAAGTGCTATCCAATGTGCTGTGTGAACGATTGAAGCCAATGGTCAATGACATCATCGGACCATACCAATGTGGCTTCAGACCTGCCAAATCCACCATTGACCAGATTTTCACTCTGCGCCAAATCCTGGAAAAGACTCACGAAAAACACATCGACACATACCACCTATTCGTCGACTATAAAGCCGCATTCGACAGCCCTATGCGTTCAGAGGTGTTTAAAGCCATGTCTGCGTTCGGTATTCCTTGCAAAATTAATACGGCTCTGCAGGATAACTTTAAGTGGCACAAGGTCAGCAGTGAAAGTAGGAAAGGACCTATCGGAGCCCTTCAATACCGAACGAGGATTCAGACAAGGTGACAGTTTGTCGTGTGATCTTTTTAACATCCTACTGGAAAAGGTCATACGAGACGCAAATGTGAACAGAAATGGCATTCTGTACACCAAACATCACATGTTACTCGCCTCGCCGATGGCATTGATATAATGAATTACTTCAGTTTTGAAATTCGGAGAAGGATTGTGATGGCCAACAGATGCTACTATGGTCTAAGTAAGCAGTTTAGAAACAAGGCCACCTCCCGCCGGACCAAACTCACACTTCACAAAACGCTGATACTACCCGTGCTATTATATGGATCAGAGGCATGGGTACTTGCGCAAGAAGATGAGGCAGCTCTTGGGGTGTTTGAGAGAAAAATTCTCCGAAAGGTCTACGGACCGATCTGCGTCGACGGTGAATATCGGCGTCGAATGAACCACGAGCTTTACAATTTATACGCGGACATCGACATAGTCAGTCGTATTGAGCTGCAGCGACTACGGTGGCTAGGCCATGTTGTGCGGATGAATGAAAATGCCCCAGCTCAAAAGGCATATAAAAATGAGCCTACTGATGGTTCCCGTAGAAGAGGAAGGCCACGAATTAGATGGAAAGACCAAGTAGAAAACAACATCTTGGAACGTGGTCTTCCAAATTGGTGGACTTGCCCACAAGACCGACGCACTTGGAAATCTTTTTTAAGCTCGGCTTATGGAACAACCGTTCTGTAACAAGCCAGCTAAGTAAGTAAAGTAAGCACTGATTGACAGTTTGGTTGGAAACATCATTGCCAGTAAATGTTGGTAGACATTTGTGGAACATATACCATTAAACAGTGATAGCAGGTTAGTATTTCTGGTGTCAAGTTGTTTACAAGGTAACATTGGAAATCATTTCCGGTTTAGGTCCATTTATTTAATATATTTCCCAACAGTTTTTTTAAGGTACACTTTCCAAAATCTTTCGCTTTCCATTTATGATTGAAAATTTTATTCTCTATGGCGGAGGGTATAAAAAATAAGGCTTAACCAAATATCTTCTCGAATGAAAGTCGAAATTCAATTGGATTCAAACTTTGTTTGCTGTACAAAATGGGGCATTACCTGAAAAGAATTCGAAATATGCCAATTCATGTTTTGACTGCAGGGTCTATAACCTTCTGAATGTATAATACAATGTTTTCGTTAGCATGTGCACCGCCATTGTTTTCTTAATTTCAATGGGAAATGCAGTTCTTTGGGAAAATTTCGTTGGCGGAGTGTTTTTTAAATTTAAGTTTTTTTTCATAATAATAAAAAATACTTGTGATGGAACAGGTTCAAAGTCGATTTACTCATATTAAATATGTCTTCTAAACAATAACAAAATTTTGGTTATTTTGGCGCCCAACGTACATTTTTAAGTTTGATTCTATTTTGATGTTATCATTTACGTTTCACGCCAATTTTGCTGTAATAAGGAATTTTCTGGTTCATAATGTATAAAATTTCATTTAAAGTTCTGCATTTCTTCAATCATTTTGTCTTTCATCCGTTCTTCCATGATCTCATTTCGATTGACATACAAAATATTCTTCTACCTCTCCTTATCACGAAATTTCCATTTAATTGCATTACAAATACTTACCCAATACTAAATAGGCGGTAATTAACATTTTATATAACGAACGATTATCAATGGAAACACCATCACCGGGTATATAATCACCCAAGCCAATTGTCGTTAACGAGATGAAACAATAATAGAAGGCATCCAGTATACCCCATGTTGGTTCCAAATAACTGAAAACAGCAGTTGGTATGGCAAAGAATAACAATAGAACAATTATCACTGAAATGAGGGGAGAGCGGAGAGAAACGATAGTTAAAATAACACAAATCCTCCAAGTGTAACTCCTCCAACTTACCCACAATGGTCAAGTGCATAACACGAATATTAAACGGTTGATACAAATGACCTAATCTCGAATTTAATTTGCCCAATAGCCAATTAGCCGGTATTAACAATTTCTCAACCATGGCACTCAGCAGGACCAGTGTCAACGGTATACCAATTGCCGCATAAATCATGCAAAATATTTTACCCGTTTGACTGAGGGGTGTTACGTGACCATAACCTATGGGAATAAATGTTATTTTTGTATTGGAAAATTATGTATAAGTCTGTTGATCAATTTTCAGCTTACCAATTGTTGTTATAACAGTACTGGAGAAAAATAAGGCTTGGCCAAAACTCCAATTCATTTCATTAGTGGCATTGCGTAGCGGTGATATGCCACGATCATTGGCCGTAATGACAGCTTTAAGGAATTCCTCCAAATCATCATCTGCAAGAAACAAAATATAATCAATAATCGAGGATAAAAGAAATCATTAGAATATATATTCAAATATTTGACATTAGGTCTGCACGATATAATTTTAATAAGATGTTGGAATATCTTATATTTTGGATACATAAATAACCAGTAAGGAAAGTAGTAAAGTCGGACGGAGCTGACTATATGATACCCTTCACCACTTTGGGTATATTTAACAGATGAATCCTAAGAGACGTCGCATTTTTAAAGGACCATTAAAATGAAATTGGATCCATAAACATGTAATTCTGCAATTCATTACGCTGTGCCAAATTTCGTGCAAACCGAAAGATATTGAGGGACTTTGGTACAACATTTACCTTAAATGGGACGAAAATATATATAGAGCTATATATAAATCTGAACCAATTTTGACGAAACTTAACACACATTATTCTAGACCTAACTCATTACACTGTGCCAAATTTCGTGCTGATCGAACGATTATAAGGGAATTTTGTGCACCATTTACATTAAATCGGACGAAAATATATATGGAGCTATATCTAAATCTGAACCGATTTCCAGGAAACTTAACACACATGATTCTACGCCTAATTCATTACGCTGTGCCAAATTTCGTGCTAATCGAAAGATTTTAAGGGACTTTGGTGCACCATTTACATTAAATCGGACGGAAATATATATGGGAGTTATATCTAAATCTGAACCGATTTTCTGGAAACTTAACACACATCATTATAGACCTAATTCATTACGGTGTGCCAAATTTCGTGCAAATCGATAGATATATAGGCACTTTAGTGGACCATTTACATTAAATCGGACGAAAATATATACGGGAGCTATATCTAAATCTGAATCGATTTTCAGTAAACTTAACACACGCCATTTTAGACCTAATTAATTACGCTGTGCCAAATTTCGTGGAAATCGAGAGATATATAGGTACTTTTGTGCACCATTTACATTAAATCGGACGAATATATATATGGGAGCTATATCTAAATCTGAACAGATTTTTCCCAATTTCAATAGGGTTCGGCCTTGGGCCAAATAAGTGATTTATGCCAAATTTCATGCAAATCGGATCATAAATGCGACCTGTACTTTGTTCACAAAAATCCATAGACGGACAGACGGACGGACATGCGTAAATTTCAATAGGGTTCGTCCTTGGGCCAAATAAGTGATTTATGCCAAATTTCATGCAAATCGGATCATAAATGCGACCTGTACTTTGTTCACAAAAATCCATGGACGGACAGACGGACGGACATGCGTAAATCGACTCAGAAAGTGATTCTATGCTTATTCTCAAAAGGAACCATGTGTCTATCTCGTTTCCTTTTGCCTGTTACAAACATATGCACAAAGACATACTACCATGTACCACAGTGTGGTGAAGGGTATAAAAATCATAGTCGGAATTACTCAATCAAGCATTTAATAGCTTTTGGGTACTAATTCAGGCATCAGAATAATCGAAATGGAATCTATTTTAACTCTACCAGGGGGATTTCACTCCTGCTGGTAAAGTGACGGAATACGACTCCGACTCTTTTTGATGTCGCTTGAAACTGGATAAGCTTCTTTTTTAGGTTTTCTTAATTTTCTACTTTCTATTTTCAATGACGTGTTATAAATCGCTTTCACAATTCACTTAGAAATTTATACTTTTCGGAACAAATTAATTAATAACAGCTTATTTAAATTGTTGCCTCATCGTCAACCCCCTTCATCTGTGTAAAATTTCGTGAAGTTCGGTTTATAATTGTTGCCTATAGAGCGTCCAGAAAAACAGACAGAAATAAAGTTGTTGGTCCATTTCATTCTATAAATACCAGAACGATTGGGCCATAATTGTGGTCTGTATAGTGTTTACATTTATAATGGCCAAACGGACGGACGGGCACACTTGTCTAGATCGACTCAGCTAGTCGGAATATGATGATCGGCACACTTAAAGTTGGGTCTAGGATCAATATTTCGTGCTTTTACAAACACTTGCGGATACACATTGCTATAATACCCTGACAACATAGTTGTGTAGGGTATACATAGCCGTTATAAATTTCATATAAAAATTGAAAAAATTAAAATGGCCTTTTATTAACAACGAATTTGACTGTAATTTGATATTTTGTGCTATTATTGGGTAGCAAATCTTCCTACCAAAAATGATAATTTTTGATGCACTTTTAAGGGCAGTCCCCATATAACGGTTCCTCTAAATTTCGACATGTTCGGCGCTTTGTGAGCGTTTTTCAAACAAATCGACTTTAGTTTAGTATTTTGAATGCCGTAATATTAATATTGACTCAAGTTTTAGGGTAGGTCGTATATATAAAATCATTATGGCATTTCATAGTTAAACATAAACCATCGATTTCATGATATTATTTACTACCATGAAATGAAATATTTAATTATACCCTTCACCTTCACCCATATGTCTTTGTGCATATTTTTGTAACAGGCAAAAGGAATCGAGGTAGACCCATGGTTCCTTTTGAGAATAAGCATAGAATGATTTTCTGAGTCGATTTACGCATGTCCTCCTGCCGTCCTTGCATGTATTTTTGTGAACAAAGTTCGCATTTATGATCCGAATTTGATGAAATTTGGCACAGCTCACAAGGACGAACCCTATTGAAATTTTAAAAAACCGGTTCAGTTTTAGATATAGCTCCCATATATAGTTTCGTCCGATTTTATGTGAATGATGCATCAAACTCCCAATATTTGTCCGATTGGGACAAAATTTTGCACAGAGTACTGAATTAGGTCCAGACTTATGTTTGTGAAGTTTTGTTAAAATCGGTTCAGATTCAGATATAGCTCCCATATATAGTTTCGTTCGATTTTTTGTGAATGATACACCAAACTCCAAATATTTGTCCGAGTGAGACAGCGAATGCAATTGAGGAAAAAATTATGTGTGATAAGGTTTGTTGATATCGGTTCAGATTTTGTTTTCGGTCTCATATATATTTTCGTTCGATTTAATGTAAATGGTTTTACTCGATTTCATACAAATGGTACACCAAAGAATCCAAGTCTGCCCGTTTGACATGCAATTTTTCATTGATTTCAGAATGGTATATGTATGGGGTTTTTTTAATTGATTCAAATATCTATCTAGATTGCACATTTAATTTCGCCCGACTTCATCTAAATGGCCCTCCCAAGATTCTATGTCTGTTCTATCTACAGGATATTGTATATATTAACATCTCTTGTGTTTACCCAAAGTGGTGAAGGGTATCATATAGTCGGTCCCGTCCGACTTTTGAACTTTCCTAACTGGGTTTTTCTTATGTTTGATCCGAAATTTTGAATTCATATTTATAATCAGAGACCATAGCTCTAGAAAACGTGTTCAAAAATAATTTGATGACTATAATTTTTAAAAAATTTGACCTCCATGTTTGATTTACCATATTTAATTTAATAAGAATCCTCAAAACTCTAATATATGATATTTATTTATTTCATAAACCCACTGCTTTAATTATGGCCAAAAAATGGGATCTCTGGCTATAGTGCATTTGTTTGAGTAGTCTATTTCGAAATGGATAATAAATTTAACAATTATTTTACCACCAATGCCAATAAAGAATAAAATTCACGAGACTAGGGTTTCATTATAACAAATAATTTACTCAATAAGTATTTAAACAGTTGTCTCTACCTATAACTTTGTCTATATTTGCATTTCTTTTATATCCCATAATTATAATCCATTAAATAATCTATATAGAGAACTTTACTCAATCGGCATGATTTAGTATTTATTAAAAGTAGTAATAGTTTTATCGGGATTATTTTGAATACCATTGGATTGGAGTATTAGGAAAATTGTCATTTATTGTTTCATGTATTATAAGTTACTTTTATCACGTCAGAACTTTAATTATGCCATATGAGAACTGAATCGGACGAAATCATTGATTGGTCACTGGAATATTATTTAGTAGAATATTCTGCTTCCTCATTTGTATACCCACAGCCTTATGGCTAATGAGGGTATATACACTTTGATACGGCAAAAATGTGACTCATCGTTTTTTTTGTCCGTTACGGACAATTTGGAGCAACCTATTACCTTTGAACAACCTATTACCTTTATCAAGCCTAGATCAAGTCCGAAGATTGGACCCATTGGTCCACTCCTTCTGGTACCACTCCCGATTTGAACCAAACTGTATACAACCTATTATATTTTCCAAGCCTTCTGGTACAACAAAGGGTCAATATTTTATAAATTTGTAAATTTACATTTAAAGTTATTTGAATAACCGATTGGATCAACAAAAAAATCCAAAACCTCTTTGATAAAAATATATACCTCGTATAAAGCAAAAAGTAAAATCTGTCTGTAATTAATACAAAGGTCCCTCTCCGTTCGCGGTAAGTTTAAAAGCATAGCCTGTTTATACTCTTCACCACGCTGTAGTACAGGGTATTATATCATTGTGCATATGTTTGTAACCGCTATTAGACACATGGTTCCTTTTGAGAATATGCATAGAATCACATTCTAAGTCGATTTATGCATGTCCGTCCATCCGTCTGTCTGTCCATGTTAAATTGTAAACAAAGTACATGTCGCATTTATTACCCGACGGCCCAAGGACGAACCCTATTGAAATTTGGAAAAATTGGTTCAGATTTAGATATAGCTCCCATATATATTTTCGTTCGATTTAATGTAAATGGTGTACAAAGTCCCTATATATCATTCGATTTGCACAGCCTACTGAATTATGTCTAGAATGATGTGTGCTAAGTTTCGTAAAAATCGGTTCAGATTTAGATATAGCTCCCATATATTTTATTTTCAGGAAAACATCATACAATAGCTCTTATATAACATACCGCCTGAAATATTTGTCATTAACAGATCTCGTTATGCCGATCCCGATATTCCCCTTCGATCTAATACGAATACAGTTTACACCATCTCACCTTTTACTTGTGTATATTTCTCTAAAAACTTATTTCTCAAGGCGGTTATGGCAGCACGCTCTTGCAACTCCACAGGATGTTCTATATTTCGAAATAGAATAGCACCCATTGCTAAAAATCCAATATAAAATAAAACGAACGTTACAAAAAGTATTCGTTGCTTTCGATATTGTGGCGGACAACAATCATTCGATAAACCGGGCATTAGATGTGCCGTTGTACCGTCATCCGAATCTTGATATGTTGGACGTATTAAACATATTGAACCGATACTGACACCGTTATTTAAACTTATATTTGATTTTTTACGATAATTATGAGATGTTGTTGCTGTTGTTGTCGATTTTTTATAAATACTTGGATCCGACATCGATATTAAACGATCAATTGGCGGCGGGGCTAATGTATGCGTTTGATATTCAATTTGGCCATTATCATAGCCTTCTAAATTGTCGTAACCTTCTTTAAGTGGCATTTTTTGGTATTTTTATGTTTTATTTAATTTTGTAATATTTTTGTACTTTCAACAAATATTTTTTTATTTGTATTAAATTTTTTTTTGTTTAAAACCGTCTTAATTTTTTTCACAGAGCTATATACACCCTTCCATGTCTACGATCAGACTAAAATACCAATTCAAATTTCAGCTTGTCTGTTATCTGTTGTTTATTTATTCGTCGGTTTTTTGTTGAGTTCTGTTTTGGTATTCATATTTTTTTCACTCATTACGTTACTGTATTATCTCATATTTCGTTTTCGTTTGCATTTTTTGTCATTTTTTTCTGTTACGCCTGATGAAGAAGTATCATTCCATTTGAGCAGCCAATGGTGTTGCCATTTTCTTTCCAAAATAAGAAAATGGTCGGTTTCCAAAACAGGAAAATTATCGGATTTTATTTCTTAGACAAATAGCCCTTTAGAGGGCTCCAGGAAATAAAATATCTTTAATCTTTACGTCATTCTAGACTCAATACAATATACTTCGTTCACCATTTACATAAAATCGAACGGAAATATTTATATAGGGGAGCTGCGTCTAAATCGGAATTGTTTTCGAAAAAAAACATTATACATCTCATGACATTCATAATTTTGTAACCACAACAACTTGCTCAACCAGGGCTTTGATTTTTTCTATAGGAGATATTCGAGATTATCCCACCTAAAAAAAAAACACCCTCCAATAGGGAACTCGATTTTATTCGCTTAGATTTTTTTCTGCTTATCTGGAGATTCGTTTCCGAATAACTAGAGCTTTGACATTTTTTCTATAGATAAAACTCTCTATAGAAAATAACAGCGATCTCCGCTTTGATTCTTTTTCTATAGAAAAAAGTCTTTGCCCAAGTGGAGCTTTGAATTCTTTCTATAGAATAAAGTCTCCGTTTAAGTGGTGCTTGAATCTCAGATTTTGTTTTTTATAGAAAAATGTCTCCGTCCAACTGGGGTCTATGAATTTTCCTGTAAAAAGTCTTTGCCTAATTAGGGCTTTAATATTTTTCTATACAAAAAGATTAAAAAAAGCCCCAGAATCATTTTCTATAGAATAAAAGTCTCCCTCCAACTGGGGCTTTGATTTTTTTTTTTTGATAAATGGCTTAGCAAGGGCTTAGAATTTTGTTCTATAGGGAAAAACTGAAGCTTAGAATTTTTTCCATAGAAAAAAGTCTCCGCCCAACTAGGGCTTTCGATGTATTTTTGTAGAAAAAAGTCTCTGACAAACTGGGACTTTGTATTGTTTCTATTGAAAAATTAACCCTTATAAGGGCCTTGGATTATTTTCTATTATTTGATTTTTTATAAAGAAAAAAGTCTCCGCCCAACTGGGACTTTGAATTTTTTTACAGAAAAAATCGCTCACGCTTAACAAGCGCTTTTTACTATAGAAAAACTGGAGCTTTGCATTTCTTCCGCCCAACCAACTGTTTCTATAGAAAAATCAACGCTTTGGATTTTTTTCTAAAGAAAAATGTCTCCGTTCATCTTGGACTTTGCATTATTTTCTATAGAAAAATGTATCCGTCCAACTGGGGCTTTATTTTTTTTCTGTAGAAAAATATATTTGACCAAGGGGGGCTTTGATTTTTTATAGAAAAAAGTCTCCGCCGAACATGGCCCATCTGGGGGCCTTTGAATTTTTTTTCTACAGACAAAAATATCCGCCCAACTGGGACTTTGAATTTATAATATAAAAAGTCTCCGCCCACTTGGGGCTTTGGATTTTTTATAGGGGAAAACGGCGCCCAAATAGGTCGTTGAATTTTGTTATAAAAAAGTGTCAGAAAAAAGTACCCAAATGATTTTTTCTGTAGAAAAACACAGAAGCCAACTGGCACACAAATGGGAGATTTCGATCTGGAGATTTGAATTTTTTCTATAGAAAAAGAACACCAGCCCATTTTTATACCCTTCACCACACTGTGTTACAGGGTATTATGTCTTTGTGCATATGTTTGTAACAGGCAAAAATAATCGAGATAGACCCATAATTCCTTTTGAGAATATCCATAGAATCACTTTCTAAGTCGATTTATGCATGTCCGTCCGTCTGTCCATGTTAAATTGTAAAAAAAGTACAGGTCGAATTTATGATCCGAATTAGATGAAATTTGGCATAGCTCATTTCTTTGGCCCAAGGATAAACCTATTGAAATTGGGAAAAATCGGTTCAGATTTAGATATAGCTCCCATATATATTTTTGTACGATTTAAGGTAAATGGTGTACCAAAGTCCGTATTTATCTTTCGATTTGCAAGAAATTTGGCACAGCGTACAAAGTGTGCAAAGTTTCGTGAAAATCGGTTCAGGTTTAGATATAGCTCCCATATATATCTTCGTCCGATTTAAGGTAAATTGGATACCAAAGTCCCTATATATATTTCGATTTGCACAAATTTTGGCATTCAGGAAAATCAGTTCAGATTTATATATATATATATATCCCATACATATTTTCATCCGATTTAAGGTAATTGGTGCAACAAAGACCCTATATATCTTTCGATGTGCACGAAATTTGGCACAGCGTACTGAATTGCGTCTATAATAATGTGGGCTAAGTTTCATGAAAATCGGTTCAGATTTAGATATAGCTCCAATATATATTTTCGTCCAATTTAAGGTAAATGGTGCACCTAACTCCCTATATATCTTTCGATTTGCACGAAATTTGGCACGGCGTACTGAATTCAGTCTAGACTGATGTGTACAAAGTTTTGTAAAAATAGGTTCAGATTTAGATATAGCTCCCATATATATTTTCGTCCGATATAAGGTAAATGGTGCACCTAAGTCCCTATATATCTTCCGATTTAATCGAAATTTGGCACAGCGTACTGAATTCAGCCTAGACTGATGTGTGCAAAGTTTTGTAAAAATCGGTTCAGATTTAGATATAGCTCCCATATATAATTTCGTCCGATTTTAGGTAAATGGTGCACCAAACTTTTAATGTTTGTCCGATTGACGCGAAAGTTTGCACAACGTATCAACTTGAGACTAGAATGACGTTATTACGTTTTGTTGAAATTGGTGCATATATACTTCGAACGGGTGCTTTATTGAGATTAAATTTTGAACAGTGTATCAAGTACACGAATAGCGTGTATCAAGTGTTACATAAATTTGTCTTATTATACGCAAACAATTCTAAATCTGCCCGAATGAAATGAAACTTATCGTAGGTTTCAGAATATATGTACGGATTGGTGTTAGCCGTTTCACATATTGATAAAGACCACATATTTGAGTTCGTTCAATTTCATGTCAATATGCCTTCGACATCTATTAGAATATACCAAAGTGGTGAAGGGTATCATAATTTTTTCTATAGAAAAAGAACACAGGCTCATTTTTTCTTAAAGGAAAAATCACCAGACTGACTGCAGATTTATTTATTTTATTTTTTCAAAATTTTCTCGTAGGGCTTCCTATCTTTAAAATATATGAAATATGTTTCTATACCATTTTGGTAGAAACATATTTATTTTTCGATGGCAACCCTAGCTTTCTTCCCTCATCAATCTTAGCATAGCTTACAATTTAATTTTTTTTCAGAATATTTGCTTCTGATGCAGCTAAGAATGAATCTGATTGTATCATATTCTTATATTGTTATTGTTGTCTTGCCATTGTTGTTGTGTTTATTGTTTATATTCCAAAAAAATAAATAAAAGAAGCAAATCAGCTATTTTTTGTCCCGTTTAGACATATGACTAATTATGTAACGTTTAAAAATTTAGACAACTATAGGACGGCGAACACAAGTCTATGGGGGTACATTCAAATTGCATGTACATTACAAAGAATATGAATTACACAAGACTGTATGTATGGTTTGTATGTCTGTACAAATTTACAGGCATGCGACATGATCATTTTCTTTAGAGAAATTTCTACTGATAAGCATTAGAATAAGAATAATAAGAATAAGATAAGATTGCTTAGAAATGAGGAAATCGAATTCTCACGCTACAGCCACCAGTAACAATAGAACAAAAACAATTGTTAACTAGTGGAACCCTGATATTTTTAGATGTAGATGGAATAAAGTCGGCATTGACATTTTCACTCCCTTGAGGTGAGAAATTTTCTTTAAAAAGTTTAAGTCTGTCTTTATTTTTATAGAAAAAATCTGTGTTTAATTTTTTTTAATTTTTAAATTCTTATGGAAAACAATTATATACAATATACATTTCAATAAAATTTAACATCCAATAACAAATCACTTTCGAACTTACCATTTAAACACGCATGTTTATCCAGAAATTGATTTCGAAATGTTTCCACTCGTTGCGAAATCACATCAATTTTTGGCGCTTCAATGGCTGAGAACATCGCTGCACCCAAGACCAAAAACAAAACATAACCGCCGCATAAAAAGCAAAACCGACATCTTCCGCTTTTGTTGGCGGACGTGGCTGATGAATTTTTCGAGCTAATCGGAAATGCTCCTAAAAGCATGCTGCAAATAAAAAGTGAAAAATTAAAAAATATATATTAAAAAATTGTTCTTGTTTGTCCTCGAAACACCATACAGCACAGGTTGTTGGTATTGAATTATTTTTAGCCATGCATAGCTGCAATATGTTTTTGACAAGTAATATTAAAACAAACAGTAACAATAACAACAACAACAAGTAAAGAAACCATATAGACGAGTATGTACACGTGTGTGCATTTGATGTCAATATAATAGTGATTGTATTTATTTAATAAATATATCAAGTGAAGATGTGGTGAAAGCTGTTTTACTGGGTCATACACATGGCACTCTTGGTTGAAGGATTTTTAAATTATTGAAAGATAACATTTAATATCAAATGGAATTGAGTTTTCTATAGAAAAATAAACAAGTGAAAAAGCGTTAAGTGGACCTATACCGACATTTCTAAAAACGGATGATGTAACCATAATGTACACCAAATACAAATTTCAGCTTATGGCTAATGGCCTCATCGAAATATTGGTTCTAGACCCCATGTTTCTTTGGACCAAATCCGTTTCCGTAAATTTTAATTTCATCCAAACTTTGTCTACCTTATTATTTCTTCCACACTTAGTTCAAGTTCGAAGATGGGGAATATCGATCCACTCTTTCTGGTACGTCCAACACAGGGTCTAGGCCTAGGCCTAAATGCGCGGAACAAATCGGATAACTATTTCAATATAAACCAGTAAGGAAAGTAGTAAAGTCGGACGGGCCGACTATATGATACCCTTCACCACTATGGGTATATTAAAGAGGACCATTAACATGAAATTGGATGAAATAAAATATGTAATACTTATCTAAATGTGAATCGACTAAGATCAATCAATAAACATGTCATTTGTTTGTTACGGTATTCTATGCTAAATTTTGTACGACGTGCAATTTCATGTCAATCTGAAAACATGAGGAGTTTAATGCACCCTTTACTTACAGTACGTTTACATTTAACCGGATTTCGTTAACCCAGCGGGTTTCAATTGTCAATTCCATTGTATATATGTCATATAAATCCTCATAAAGTGGGTTAACCCGGTAAAAAGTTCTAATGTAAATGTCGTTTTAAAATCGGACGAAAATATATATGGAAGCTATATTTCTTGTTAGGTTATACTAATTTCAGTACGTTTTGTTCCTATCAGCCACATATTGATTCCTTGGTGCGTCAATTACTTAAAATCAATCGATAATATATAAGGGAGCTATATCGAAATCTGGACCAATTTTCACGAAACTTTGCAAACATCACTCTAGGCTCAATTCAGTACGTCGTGCCAAATTTCGTGCAAATCGAAAGATATATAGGGACTTTGATGTACCAATTACATAAAATCGGATGAAACTATATATGGGAGCTATATCTAAATCTGGACTGGTTTTCACGAAACTTGGCAGACGCCACTTTAGGCTCAATTCGGTACGCTATGCCAAATTTCGTGCAAATTGAAAGATACATAGGGACTTTGGTGCACCATTTACATAAAATCGGACGAAATATATCGAAATCTGAATCGATTTTCACGAAACTTGGCAGACATCACTCTAAGCTCAATTCAGTACGTTATGCCAAATTTCGTGCAAATCGAACGATATATAGGGACTTTGGTGTCCCATTTACCTTAAATCAGACGAAAATATATATGGGAGCTACATCTAAATCTCAACCGATTTTTCCCAAAAAAGTGATTCTATGCATATTCTCAAAAGGAACCATGGGTCTATCTCGATTATCCCTGTACCACAGTGTAATGAAGGGTATAAAAAGGGGGTTAATAATTTTTGGTGGGGGAATTGGGGGATACCCATATATGGGAGCTATGCCTAAACGTGGACCGATAAAGCCCATCATATATATATATATATATATATATATATTAGCGGGACCCGTGGCGCAATTTTTACTTCCTGGTAATTTAAGATTGGATTTGTACTTATCTGAGTATCATAAATACTTTTATGGACAGATTTATTCAAGATATTCTAATATGTTCATAATATTAGTTTAGAGCGGAATTTTGGAAATTTATTTTGCCTATCTTACTTCCATGGGATGGCATGGCGGACTGCGAAAATTTCTGCAAAGTCAATTCTGCAATTTTTGTGTCCAACCAAAAGCGTTTCTTTATTCTATGTAAAGATAAATTATATTAACCCTTTGAGCCCTGATTTTTTTTCCGTAATCATAGAACAATTTTCTGTTCACAGATTTAATGCATCTATCGTAGATAGGATATGGACAAAATTTGAGATCGCTACATCCTTGCATTCGGTAGATACAGTACATTCTTTCTGAAAAATGAAAGCCCAATATCAAGAAAACCAAATGAAAAATCGACGAAAAATCATTTTAAATTATTCTCTATATTCATTTTTACAAGAATCAAAAATAATTCTGATAACAGAATTTGTACATTTCGAATGCGAAGCGATTTAAATAATTTGGACTGTATACACAAATTAGTACTGTACACATTTTTGCCCTCTTCTCTACATTGAAAAGCTCATAACTTTACCAAAAATTTGAATTTTTTTGATTTTTCTTTTGATATGTGTCGTCGATAATCAAGTCTTGACGTATGAAATACAAAGAATATATGGGAAATTACAAAATTCTTTTAAAATTCCATTAAAAAAATTTTGAAAAAATTTTTTGCGAGCACATTTATGATTTTTGGTACATAGGTTAAGAAAAATATGCTGATTCGAAATCTGTTCGCGTTCACAAATTCGGATGCTGCGCACAAAAGTTATAGCGGTTTTAAATCTTGTATTTCAAATATAAATTAAATGGATTCCTATCCGTTGTAATTCGCGAATTTCTTCACAAATGCTTAAACACCATTGTTTTCTTTGCATACTAGTCAAATCACACTGAAATACGGTTTAATAGTCGCGAAAAACAAATAGAAAGATGAAGATATCGGAAAATAAAATAAATTAATTTTTGAATTAAAACAAATTTTTTTTTGAATTTTCGATTTTTTTAGTATGGTTAAGAGGATACGATTTTGCCTTAATCTTCTAAAATATACGACGCTTTCTTCTGCAAATTCTTTTAGATGATTGTTAAATATCGGCAGATTCATCTGATAAGCGTTTCGACGTCATTAATGGCTAAATATATTGCACTTACAATACATAAAAATGATCAATATTGAAAAGCTTGCAATTCGCGAATTAGTTGAAATCAGTTGATGCGCATGCGATTTTCGTATAAACCGAATCAATGTCTTTCAATAATTATTAATTTTTCGATGTTTAATTTAGCGGTCAAAGTGTGCCACTCGATGCACTTTACTATGCAAAAACCCTAAAAATGGCTAAAAATCACGCAACGTGCATACGATTTTTATGCGCATCCGATTTTAGTAATCTCCTATGAAAATACGCAAACGGACACCTATTTTAAAAGGATCGGTTAAGAACCGCGGATGTGCCTCCACAATCAATTTTTGATAAAATACGCATATTATTCGCGTATCGATGTATTTTTGACCTATTTCCACACAGATTCGCGAATTTGACAATACAAGCATAAATGCATGTAAAATTAATTCGAAGAAAACCGCGATTTTTTACGCGAATTTGTCAAAATAAGTTTTTGCAGTTTTTTCCACATTCAAGGTACTTATATCCGCCGTTTTATTGGACGGAATTGAACATGGATGGGCTCATTCGATCCGGCACGTAAAAAAACTAAAATCACGCGGGGTTCCACGGAATTTGAATGGACTTTCTTAATTTTAGACTCAAAAAATATGTTTTTTATAAAAATTTACGCACCAAATTTTCGTCTTTGGAACCCAATTGCAAAGAAGCTACAGTGAGCACATTCATGAGATATACACTAAACGAAGCAGAATCACGAGTTCTACGATCCTATAATTAGTTTATTCTATTATCTGGATGCGCATCCTAATTATAAGAAAAATTCAAAAAACACCGAAAATCCGGCTTCAAAATGTCAGCATCCATTTTGGGTGGATGCAGTGATTATATCGAAAAATCATACATTAGAACCATATTGTCCATGGGGTATTCTGCAACTTAGTCACTGATCACATGTGCGTGCGTTGTGTAGTTTAGCCACAAATCGGGAACGAACACAAAAAAACTCGTTGGCTTCAACACATTTTCACCCATTTTTTTACATTACCACCATCACAGCTTCCACGCAACTTATTATTTATTACCAATATTTCAAGATTTTGACAAGCACACTTCATTTTATAGAATTGAATTTAAATTATATGCAATATGTTCATATTTCGCGAGTTATAACCTTGCAAACCTCAGCTTCAAGGAATTTAAAAGATTTTTGTAATTTCCCATATATCTACTAGCTACATATGAAATATAACCTCTAAAACATTTTGTTGCCTGTGGGCAACATTGGGCCACAAAGTGTTAATAATTGGGAGTAAGTTCTCCCCATTGTTTCACTCCAATTCTTATAGGGATAATGCGTATATGTAACCAATTTACTCAGGCAAATTTTGAAGTGGAAATCTGTAACCCTTTTTAAGATATAACCCTTTTTAAGATATAAGCATTAATAGATATAAGCCTCGGGTTTTTATACAGAAAAATTCAAAGCCCAAGTTGGCCTGGGTGTTTTACTATATTTAAAGCCTCGCGCTTTGTGCTTGGCGCTTTGCAAACAAACCCCTAACCCCACATGAGCACTGCTTTTTTTCTTAGCAAAAAATTTCAAACCCCAGATGGGCGCTGTTTTTTGTTCTATTAAAAATTAAACTTCGTTGCGTGGTTTTTTATATATATAAAAGGTTTTTTTGAATGAAAAAAAAAGAACAAAAGCCCCTGTTGATCGGATTTTATAGAAACAAGTAAAAAATTGATACTTGCGCATTCAAACTTTATAAAATCGATCCATAGCCTTATATAATCTACTAAGACAATATTTATCCTACGTATATAGAGATGAATAAAGTTCAAAAGTTGGACGGACCGAC